CAATTCTCTCTTCCTCCTCCGACAATTATGACCTTATTATTCACGAAAGCCTTCTTATATGCAAACTTTAGCCCTCTCTTAACACCAAAGGCAACTAACCCCCCCCCCTTCACCTACTCACACATGTAATTTAGCACTCTGCAATATATGCAGGGTATTTAAAACCATGTATATAATTTATCTGAAATAATATGAAGATGTCTTAAGTTAAAGGCGAAACGTTATTATCAAATCTTTCTTCATTTTACTATTGAGATGGCTTTTTTAAAAGTGTTATGTTGTGCTATTATATTCATATAGCATAAGCAATTGCTTTGATAAATAGAAAGAAAATCAAATTTAAAATTTTTAAATTGAATCTTACCATCGTTAGACTATTAAACAAGCATTCCAGAGTTGGTACAAAACTTGTATAAATTCTGCAGGTAATTTTGAATTTCAGTTACAAGTTCCTGAAATAACGTATCTGACGTATCTTTGCTGCTGTCACTTAGTTATTCGTTTTGTTGGGTTCGTTGAGTTTGTAAGTGTTACGTTTGATGAAGTCAGAGTTATATTTGTTTTTGTCAAAAACACGTTTGAGATAGTTTTTTTTTGTTGTGTAAAGCGTCCGGTCAATCACATATGATTTGTTGGGTTCGTTGAGTTTGTAAGTGCACATAAATCTTGTTAATGTTCTGATTGTTAATGTTGTCTTGTTAATGTTCTGATTTTGTTGGCTTTGTGTGATGTAGGGTTGTAAGATGATTGGTCAAGTAGTCGATCAATATGTGTTGGCTTGCGATAAACTGTTGTTCGTAGTTTTGGATTGTCATGTTTTACCAAACAGTCGAGAAAAGGAAGAGTTCCGTTTTCTTCGACATCTTTGGTATATTTTATGTGGCTGTTCTTTACCTTACCTTACATCAAAGGTACGACCGAGACTATCTCACGTATCTTACGACCATACAACATACGTATCGCACATAAACCAATTACAACGTTGCGACAATGACTAACGAACAAAAAGAACAAAGAACAACCAAACGAATGACAAGGTGCAGTTTACAAACTAAACTGCTCCGACTACCACGCCTCCTATATCGGGGAAACTGGCAGGAATTTAAACATAAGGCTTACTGAACATAAACGAGCTACAAAGAAACAAGACAACACAAATCACATTGCCGAACATCACCGATTAATAAAGCACAACATTGACTGGGACTCGGCATAATGCCTTACTTGCAGTTCTGACTTTAAACAACGGCTTACATTAGAAATTTGGTATACTAACTTGGAACAAACCCCCTGAACAGATCACAGCAATTACCGACACTTTACAAACAACTTATTCACAATATAAACAAACGATCAACAAAAAACATTACACTTCACACTAATCTACAATGACAATTCACAATTGACACCCACACATTTCAGTACACACTACAATGACGTAAGAACCAAATAACAAATATGGCTAACCTGATGTTTACTCCTCATTTGATTCTGAAGATGACTACTGCTAATGTGCTAAGGTTGTCGAAATGTCAGTCAACAACAACAAAAACAGTCCTTATCAGGACTATACAAACCTGGATGATCTACATCTACAAACATGTAAAAGTAGGCTAGCTTACGTAAAAGCATTGGCTTTTCAATGGTGCCTTTAGGGCCTCAATCTGTTCGGAATAAAAGTCTAACTCTCCATTCACTGTAAAACTTAAACATCAAACCCTATACATATAGGCAAACACAAACCTAACTTAAAGAAATAAGTCCAAAATTATATCAGTTATCGCTATTTTCAAACCATAATTTTCTATTTTATCCTTACTAATACACACATCTTTCACTAATACCTAAGCTTTAGTAAAAACATTTGCTCATTATTAAAGTACATTTGACATTCAATTACACTGACTTATCAATAGTGCTGTAGAAGTAAATGAAGATATGATCTTCGCACTTTGTTGGACAATTTAAGCAATTGTCTCATAAACCTGAAAAAATCAGGTGACTCAACGGGATGAAGAAACATTCCAGAAATCAATAGCATTTATTTATGCACGTAACAATCGGAATTATTCAAGAACCATTCACGGGCCTTCGATAATATAAAAGGAAAGTACATTAAGAGAAAGCAGACAGTCGAATAAAATAAAGAAGTGCGGTGTTGCAGTTGCGAAAGGGTTACTGAAACAGACTATTTCTGTTGCGAAAAGTTTCTTTCGTACAAATTTTATTCATGGTCATTTGAACGTCCGCTTAATCTAAAAAAATTCTAAATTATCCTTCCATTGATTTTATTGAATGCACATTTATGCCCCTTTTACATTTCAGATTGTTATGAGGCATAAATAAATATTATTGAATGAATGTCGACTAGTGCTCTTGAATGTTCCTTCATGCTCATGAATTTTCTACAGCGCTAAATTAATAAGTCAAATTAGCGTGTAATTGAATGTCAAATGTGCTCTAATGATGAGAAAGTGGTGTAATAATTTAAAACTGAAATATTCGCATCCATTTCTAATGTTTATTTTCTGAAACTGTTGAGAGACTTTCCCAACAATATCCAAAACGTTTAGAGATTTCAGCCCTTGCAAGAGTTGCTTAATAGTACTTTGACGTTTCCACAATAGTTTATTTAACAGCAAAGTTCAAACAATATACACTTTCTTGCTGTAGAAAACATCGTTTGTCCATCCTACAATAGAGTGCGTAATTGTGTAATAAATGAATAATATCCTCAGTTCAGTCATATACAATTTTTTTTTTCATTTTTAAAGATAGTTATAAGAAACTATCAGTATTTGAAAGACTAAAATGAAGAGAATTAAGTAATGAAAAAAAAATTAGAAAATCACTAATTACACTAATTATCCAACATGGAGGCCACTAATTAGCCAATAAATTAACTTTGCTGCAAACATGATATCTTGGGAACCAATTAACCAAATTGAATGAGTAATGTTTTTTTAAAAGCTTGGAACATAATACATCACCTCCAGTCAGGAAGCATGCGACAGAATTTTGCTATTCTTGGGCGTGATTTACATATTATTTTAAGAGCTGTGTTTTAAATTCAGATCTTAAATCTGCTATGGGAGATTTTTCTCTTACGGATAAAACTAATATTTTTATTTTTATTTGGTGCAAAAATACAGTGTATTTGGTTATGATAGTTCCATCAAGATATTTATGAAGTCAAAGAAGTGGTATTTATCCAGCAAAAACGACGATATTGACGTAATGTCTTTGTACGAAATGTCTTGATAAAATACATTACACTGTGTCCCAACCTGGAAAACTGGTGTTGAATCTTATTTTGTCAACAGTAATCATGAAGATGTACAAGATTAGCAGAATACTTTTAAGATTCGGATATAAAATATGGGTCGTCAAATGTAAAAAAAAATATTTATACAAAATCATGTCTAGAATTTATTATTTAGCAACCATCTCTGTATTAATTGTACACAATCAGTTGAATTTTTCCAACAAGCCATATATTATTTATTGCAAATTAAATAACCTTTGCTTATATCTAGCCAAATGTAAAATAATGAGGTGTTCCTAAACTGGAAAAGGACTATGAAGAAAGAAAAAATTTCAAAAGAACTGAAATGACGATTGTTTCAGATATGTTACATTGTGAGTGTAATAACAACATATTAAGGATGCTAAAAGCAAAGTTTGCTTGGTTCTTATTTAAAATGCAATGCCGTTATCAACTTTACTTTGCAATTGGAAAATTTCAATCCTGTATTATACTCGTTTCACAATGGAAATTTGTGTTGAGAATATCGACGAGGAGACAGACGTGTCCAAAAGAAGGTAAAATTACACTTCATATTAAGCTAAATGGATTATTTATCTCATTTCGCTTATTTCAAATTACTTTATTTAAAAAGCAAGCCCAAAGTTAACGTAAGTCAAGTCCGAGTTAAGGAGATGTTTGATTCCGGATTTGGCGTTGCTAAAATGACCGTGTGCTTAGGATTATCTCGGCCAACACTCTATAACCTTTAACGTGACGCAGGTAATGATTATGCTGAAAAATTTAATGCCATTTCTGATTTCAATCAAGACAAGATTATTTCAGAAATCAAACAGACCCACCACAACGCTGGTGAAGTCAAAGTAACGGGCTACCTTTAAGCTGGTAAAATTAGGATGAACAGAGGTAGGGTTAAAGCAGGCATCCATTCAGTGCTTTAGAACTAAATTTATTATATGCGGGACTCACTTGACGAAGCTGAAGCCATGAATTAATGAAAAAATACACATTTCAAAGCTAGAAGGGGGCTCCTCCCCTAGTTCCCCCCTACTTCTACTGCACTGCATCAATCGTGTAGATCCCCAAGGACCTGCGAAACGAAGATCGAGAAATTTCCAGCAATTTATTTTTGATATTAAAAAGTTAGTTTGAACGGATAGAAAAGCGGGCCAGCTAGAAAATGCTGAAATGGATAAAACTAGTCTTATTCTTTGTGTTGACGAAATCCCACAAGAGTTCTGCTAAATCACAAATAGTTTATGACATCTTGGCAGCCCAGAACCATATCCTTCGCAAAAATTTGACGGTGTCTTATTCGAAAAGTCAGGCTTGCTAAATTACTCTAATTAATTTTTCAATTTCTGATGCTGAATTTTTATTTTAGGTATTTACAAACGAGACTCTTTTGTGAGCCTTTTTTATAATTTAACGGGCAACTTCTACAGTCACAAACTAACCTTAATTTTACTACCAATATTTAACCCACAAATCGTAATTAATACATATATTGTATGCTTACAATACAAATATCAAATGAGTGCCAATAATAAGGTTGGTAAAAGTCTGGTATAACATAATCAAAGAAAAGTTTATGGAATTATACGTATAGCTGATAACAAAAAAGAAAGTACATTTAGCGCCGCTAAAGCTTGTTGCCATAACAATACCTAAACAAATTTCACATATTTATAACTTAGACAAAAGCAAGTGCAGTTTACATAAGCATTATTTTAAATTAGAGAGCAAAAATGTATCCCATTGATTTAAATTGTTTCGCTAAATTCTTATTGTGGCAGTTAGCTGAGTTCCCACTGCTATTTATTTGAGCGTTTCTCCTGTAATGCCAGTATGTAGAGCCAAACCCAATGAAAGAGTCGCTTGTCCTACAACTGTTTTCATTATTTCCTATGATGCCAATCCTTACACGAGGGTGTAAATTTGACTCGTCAACGACGTTGAAACCTTCCGTATTGCATTTTTCTTGAAGAACGCTTTCTTTAATTAATGACATCCATTTGGTTCGGTTCCCATTGGTTTTGCAGTATTTTCCACTGGCAATGATATCGTACAACGATTTAGCCTGAAAAACGAAGCTGATAAAGTTTGTTTCACCATTGAATCTCATTCCAACACATATCTTGTTTATCTTGCTGCTCCAGTAGGTAGGAAGTTTTGCTTCCAAATCATCCATTCCTGTTTTACCATTTTCAACCTTGTAACTATTTTTATTCTTCCAAAATGATGAGTCGAAGTCAAATGTTTTCTAGAATGATTTTTGAAAACTTAATCCATCAATTAAAAATCCTGTTTACTAGTTAACATTTGCAACATTTCTTTTGATTTTGTTGCTAGAATTTATTAATATAATATTTTATGACAAGAAACGTTAGCAAGCATAAAGTTTTTTTCAAACGTTTTTGTTTAGGAAAAGAAAAATCCTGAGTGAGTATAATGATGGAGAGTTAGCTATTATCTAGTTAAGAAGATATGAAAAACATTTAAGAATGTATTATATTACTAAAATATCATGAACTGTACGTTCTAGATAATATGTTTTCATAAAAGAAACATTTCAAAAAATGCAACTGCTTTAAGAAAATGTTCTTTTTATCAAAAAGTAACAGAAAATTAGGACTGATTAAGAAAAGGTGTAGCGGATCTGTCGAAAGTGAAAAGGACATCATTCATCATAAATTAGTAGCATGCACGAAATATCAGTAATGACGTCAAGAGTTGGGAGTTATTGTGGAGAGAGAGAGAAGCGAGTTAGTTGTGAGACGAATGTGAACGAGACGGAGCCCATTGTACAATACAGTAACAAACGTACTTATTGTGTGGAGAGATTTGCTAGTTAATATAACTTTGTAAACCTTATTGTTGCTTAATTTCATTTGGTTTACTTTGATCGATTGAGATTTATCGAGGATTACAAATTTGAATTCAGATCTATGATTTTTAAAACATCAGTCATGGATCACCTAAGGTGTGAAATTTTGGATTTCAAAGCCTCGGAAATGCGATTTTCATCGTTTTAGAGCAATACAAATTTTTTTGTGGCATAGTTTTTGCGTAAAAACAACACATTTTGATAATTTTTTTCTTAAAAACAACTGTGATGTTTACAATACTTGGATGTTATGCAAAGTGTTAAGACCCATTATCAACATAAATTTAATTTACAATAATGCTAATCCAAAACATTAAAGTTTTTTCCTAAGTTTTTCCCACTAAGAGACTCCAAGCACACCTCTTTGTAACGTGTTAAGTTGCAAATGATGTAACACAACGGACGGTTCATATTTTTTGATGATCGCCACAAAAATCGTTTAGTAGAGATACGCTTTCATCTCAATTGGCTATCAGTTGAAGTTGGTAAAGGCAATACCAATAAGGCGAAAATTTTAACGAATTAATTAAAAAATAGAAATCGCACTCCCTTATTGGTTGGGCATCCATGTTTATCGGCCGAGGTTATTCCAGATAATCCACTGATCAGGCAATTGACCAATGAAAAGGCTTACTTAGCATACTTCAACCCCATTATCAGTCAAACTAGTCGAGCTAGCACACACATCAGCCAGTCAGTTAATATAAAGTAGGTATGACACATGTCAGATCAAGTGACATTGTGAACTTGTTAATTGTAATATCGTTGTTAGCTTATACGTAAGTTGTTATTTTGTTCCACAATAAAAATCATAATATTTCACATGCTATCCGAACGTTATTGCCGAATCTCGAATAATTTAACATAGATTTGCATGAGCATATCTCATGTAAGTCCTTAGTGACTTTGTCCAATGACAAAATAGAATTGTAAGCATTAAATTTGATGACTAATTTTTGATCTGTAGACATCAGTCGGGTGACTTTTTTGATTTATTCTAGATCCGCCCCAGATTAAGATTATTGGGATAATTCTTTATGTTTTTTAGTTAAATAATTATTTTTCTAATGAAAAAATGAAAATCCATAAAATCAATGTCTGTCGAGTCATTTATCTAAAGCCAGTTACACAAAGCCTAACTATGTTCTTTTGTCTCATGTTTACCAACCACGACAAAAAAAGTGTGGGCGTGAAAATAAGCTTAATGAGAGTGGAAAAATATCAAGGAAGACATAACTCTTTTAACCATGTAATGAACACAGATTCCTAATAAAATATGTATTAGGCATACTATACCTGTCATCTTTTAATGCTTCTTTGCATGATGAAAAACCGGAAAAATAAATGTTAAGAAGCGTTAGATAAGCATCAGTCAAATGTGGGACGACCTTAAACAACACGTAATATATAGGAGATATTAAAACCTTGTTAATGGGCATAATATATGAAATGTAGCTAACTTTAATTTTCTATACTCTTTTTTATATTGAAGCGTTATTGAATATAGTAAAGAGCGCTTTGAATTAAAACGTCGACCAATCATCAATACTAGTGAGGTACAAATTCATGTCAAAATTAGCTGGCAAAATATCGAACAAATAATGTGCTAATAGGACAAAACAGCAGAGCTGATTTCAAACATTAATTTGAGGAAAATATAGACGGTAAACAAACAAACTAAAGCGATCTAGCAACATGAATTTAATTGCATGAGGTCAATATTGAGAAACGAAAATTAAAAAACACCGTGCTCAATCTGAAAATGGAAGAAAGGTGAAACATAGAAGTACATGTCATTGTTAAATAACATGAATCAATCATCTACATTTCTAGCTAGAAATAAAAAAACTAATAGAGTAGAAAAGAATAAAAAACGAGCAACAAAACTTATCAAAGAAACCGAGATATAAATTTACTATAACAGCAAGAAATTTAATAAATACCTTACTGAAAAGAAATTAGCTACAAGTTAAAAAGGCTGTAGGAGCAACTTAAGCAAAACCGTCCAAGTTGAAAATTTCGCCATTTAATAAAACTATCGCTGATTGGGTACGGTTTAAGAATATATCTGTAAGGCGAGTTAATGCCACGTAATACAAATTTGAAGAAAAATTCTGTTTTGCGCTAAAAATAATTTGATAAAAAAATGCGAGATAAGATCTTATTTCCAGTTTGGTTGAGTGCATTTTAATTAAAAGTATAAAGAAAATACAGTTAAAATACTTACATCGATTTAAATATTTAGCTTTATAGGAAATGAACTTGCGTTTTTTATTTACTATTTTCCATTTTCAGTAAAATTCACGAGAAATGTTTTGACTTTGAATTATTTTTATAAACATAAGTATAAAACGATTTGAGTAGAAATACAACTTTAACATAGAAATCATTAATTAATGATTTCTTTGGTACATTTCGTATAATAAAAAATAAGTGTGTCTTGAACAGCTAGCCTGGACAATTTGACAGATTATGGACAATCATGATGATGGTTTGTGAAAAAACAAGGTTTGCTTTATGCTAAATTTTTATACGTGCCATCTGGTGTTTCTGTAAATGAATTATTTGTTATAGTAAGCAGGTTAGTACATCAAAATCAATATAAACACTACTTTGTTCAATGTGCCAAATTATGCTCCTACCTTAAAATATTTGCTAAAGAAAAGCTTATGATGACATGCATGAAACATTAAATATAGTACTGCATCATCTGACAAAATCCATTTTTCAATTCCAGGTGATTAAAAATTCACATAAGATGCATTGGTTACAATGAAGTTGAATGTGGAAGAAACAAAAATTGATGGCAAAGAACTTTTAAGTCTTTTGAGGAATTATGATATCATTTAAAACATTAAGAGTAGCAATCTAGTAAAAGAAGCGACATCTGTCTTCAACATGAGACTTTTCCAATTATGTATAGCTTCTTTGTACAAAATACTTTTTTAGTCATTCATTGATATTTTAACCAAAAAACGAAAAAAAGTTGAAAGGCATAATGTAAAATACAAAAGTTTGTCAAATTGTTTGAACTTAAAAAAATTAGAATAGGTAACTGTAATTTGTAAGGACACAAGAGAAAAGTAATACAAGAAGGTCAGCGTTTTTGAGAATTAATATGTTGTTCTTGACATACATTACAGCAATATGAAAAGTGCTATATCAGAGAAACCAATGCACTTTAATTTAAGAAATCGTATTTTCAATGGGATATTAATGTAGTTCTGTTCGGTAGTAGTCCATGGTTTTCAATAACAATCCAGTTTCTAATATCTTGGCTCAAAACAGAACCAGCAACATGATTATAGAATTTCTGAATTTCGTACTTTTGCTCTCCTAGTTCAAGATATTTTCTTCATAAAATTTTTTGCAATATTGTTTGAAGTAGGTATGGGGTATAGTGGTGTAAACACAGGACGAGGTGCTCTCTCAGCAGTTGCTATTCAGGAAAATAACTTATCATTTGGGAATCACCCAAGTGTACGAAGTTTTATGAAGGAAGTTTTTGAAACTAGACCAAGCCCACTAAAATACAGACATGTAAGGTATGTACATGATATCTTTGAATTTATACAAACTTTAACACCTGTTGAGCACCTCAACCTAAAAAAATGAAATTAAAACTAACTATGCTTTTTTCTTTTATCTCTGCGCATAGATGTCAAACGTTGAAAGCACTGTCTACTGAGCATTTACAGCTAGTAAGTGATCAGCTCATTTTTTAATTCACAAAATTGCTCAAAACATCAAGACCTGGCAGTAATCAGTGGTGAAAAAATCCTTCACCGACAACGTTGCACTTTGACCCTTCAAGGTATTGAAAAATATTTCAAAGAACAAGGGACATACGAGACAGTAAATATAAACAATTGATGATTATATTACATGTTTGTAAATTTAGATCGTCCAGGTTGGTATAGTCCTGAGAAAGACAGAAGGACTGTAGACATCTACAGAATCAGTTGACTCTTAAGATGATTATTGCTAAGGTTGTCGAAACGTCAGTCAACAACAACAAAAACAGTCCTTTTCAGGACTATACCAACCTGGACGATCTAAATTTACAAACATGTAACGATACTCCTGGGTTCAAACCATTTACTTTATTGATTATATTAGTTACCAAAAGCCGCATAAATCCGTAACATCTGACACTCTATCAAGGTGGCTTGAAAAAATCTTGAAAATGGCTGGTATTTTTGACTTCACGGGACACAGCACCAGAGCTGCCTCATCGTCTGCAGCAAAATGAAGTAATGCCGATATTACTAGAATCTTGCAAGCGGCTGGCTGGATAAATGCATCTCATTTTAACAGATTTTATAATAATTCCCTATACAGTAAATACAATATTGGGCAAGCGTTGTCACAGTCTTGTGCACAGGACCAAATGTAGCAAAATAGCGTGTTATTGTTATTCATTGAGAGCGGTTTTTTCCAAAATAATTGATTTTTTATGGGTTTTAACTATTACGTACGCTCATGATCCCATTATTTTAATATCTAATGTGACTCCTTAGTGACGTACAGAATGACATAGTTGAAATTTAAAAATCAAACGAGGCTTACCTGAAAGTTCAATTTTGATTGTAATTCTTTGAGCTATTGAAAAAGGAAACTATAAGGAGTCACCCACCCCATTAATGCCTGAGAGACTAATTAGGTTTGTGTTCTCAACCTATGGGGTTTTTTCTTATGTTGACATCACCCGCGGCGTTAAAGATTGAACACATGATCTGCGTGCGCATATCTCACGTGACTCCTTAGTTTCATTCTCCAATAACTCATAGAATTACAATAAACTATTAAATTAAAAGAATTACATGTAAGTTTCATGTTTAATTTTCAAATTTTTTGCAATCATTAAATTCCCGATTCATACTAGTTCGAATTTCAATGTTAAAATTCCGTTTTATATTTAAAAACGTATATAAATATCACCTTAGCAAACAGATCAGTTGATTTTAACATATCTGGAATTATATTAACTGACTGGTTAATAAGCGTGTTGGCTTGACTGGTTTGACCAATAATGAGGTTCAAGAAAGCTAAGGAAGCCTTTTTATTGGTCAATTGCTTGATGATTGGGCGATCTGGAAAAATCTCGGCGTATAAAAAGGGTAGCCCAACCAATAAGGGACTGCAATTGCTGTTGTGTAAATAGTTCCTTTAAAACTTTGTTCTTATTGTGATTGGCTTTACAAAATTTCAACTGATAGCCAATTGAGATAAAAAGCGGATCTCTACTAAACGATTTTTATGTTCGTTTAA